AGTATGTGAGTACATCAGTGTACTACGACAGTAAAATATTATCTTAGTTTAAAGTACAGCATGGCAGTATAACAGCATACTAGTATGTCAATAAGTTAGTAGTAAACCTGTAATCTAGTATAATAGTATAACACAATAATAATATGACAAATTAATAATATACAAGAATATCAGTAGAATAGTATAATAGTAAATCATTAAATTAGTGATATATCTGTAATACAAACGTATAACAATAGTATAGTATGCCAGCTGAATAAAGCACTAGTATGCCAGAATAACAGTATATTTGGACATCATCTGAATATACTGTTATATGTGTGCAGTTATACATATATTCAGCTAACTTCGTGCTGACAATCCCCAAATAAGTTTCTTGTTCGCCTTTATATAAATCAAGCTGAGATACAAATCTTAAGAGCAAATTCGAAATCGAATGGCCCACGCGCAGCCTATATCCGCCTGGCCTAGGGCTCAAGGCTTTGGCTAATTTCCGATAAATAACATTGCAATTTTTTACAGAGCTCTCTTCCGATAGCCAATAAAGGAGTTGAGGGCCAAAAGCGAAAAGGATGTTAACTTGCTATAAGCACACATTGGGCTCTCGATGAGCCTGCGCTGGCTGGAATCCCACAGCGTGTTAATGGCAATTAATTAGGAGCGTAAATAGGCAACGGAATTGCGGCCTTTTAATTGCCCAAACCAATGGCAATTGCTGCTGCTGCTGCTGCTGCTGCTGCTGGCTGGCTGGCTGGCTGGCTGCATGATGCGTTCGATCGACTGGGCCCAGGGCCAGGACATCTGCAGGCCACCCAAGTGCACAGCGCCTTGGGCGCTCCTGCTGATTAACGCCGGGTATTAACAAGCATTTAGTTGGACAAAACAAAAAACAAAAAAAACAAAAATAATAAAAAATTAAGAGCGAAAAAGAAAAACACGACGCGAAAAAGGGGCCGCAGGATCGCTGGCAAAGGCGAGCCGACAGCCGACAGCCGAGAGGACATTTGTCCTGCGCGCTGCATGTTGCATGTCTGGCGGCAATAAAAAATTCATATTTAAAATGCATAACAATGAGACGCGACTGAGCAACGCGAAAGAGAACAAAAAGCGAGCGCCACGCAAAGCTTAGACAGAGTTAGCCCAGCCAGGAGCAGCCACAGCCACAGCAGCAGCAGCAGGAGCAGCAGCAGGAGCAGGAGTTGTCCGTGCACCCACAAGCGGAGGGACGGCCAAGGATCGGGCCATTGCACTGGAGCACCTTTTGCAAAATTATGCTGACTTTGTTGTTATTGCTGTTGCTGTTGTTGTTGTTGTTGTTGCTGGCACGCGCGCTGTCCTCGTTGAAGTTGCCGTTGATCCTTGCACTGCTTATCCTTAATTTCGTTTACTTTTTGCGCCCCGGCTGTCGTGGAGTTCCTTTTGCATTTAGCTGGACAGGTGCAAACTCTTTTCTTTTTTTCTCCTTTTACTCCTTTATTGTGCCCCTTTCGCTTCTCTCTGTCACCCTCTCTCTCTCGCTCTGTCTGTCTCGCTCACTTGGCATTAATTCGCTTCTTTATTTTTCGGTAATTGCCAAAAATGTTCCGAGTGAACGAGCGAATCCTCTCGGTCCGCCGCCGCCGCCTTCGTTTGCTGCGCTGCGTGCTCTGATCCTGCTGTCGCAGGATTATGGGACGCCTTGGCAGGACGGCGCGCTGATCCTTAGCGCTTGATTGCGATTTCACGTACCCAAAATTCCCGTTCCCATTTCGGCTCTTCGCATATTTGCAGCCCCGACAGCCATGCGATCATTGACTTTAGTCAGGCAATCCGCCTGCAACAACCCCCTGTCCCAGGTCTCCTGGGCCAGTGTCCCCGTCCCTGTTCCTGCTCCTGCTCCTGCTCCTGGCCCCGGCTACCCTGTGTGGCCAGCACGAGGATAACGACGCAGCTCGACGAGAATTTGGCACATGGAACTTTTGCCGCAGCAATTACTTATACAAATATTTAACGTGTTTAAATGTATACACTAAATAATATATATTAAAAACAAAGTATTTAAATATATTTAAAAACACATGATTATTAAAAAATATGCATATAACTATATACATATGTATGAATATATATAGGTATATGCATATATAGACATATACATATATTAAATTAAAATAATTCGAATTTTTCTATTAATTACCTATTTCATTTACTCTAGAATTATTCTGTTTAATTTCATTATTTACATAGCTTGAATACCCCTAAACACGCATTCACACTCATAACTCTTAGCATTAGTTTTATTTGCCATATGTCTGTATGTGTGTGTGTGTGTGTGTGTGAGTGCATGGACAGATGCGCAACAAATTTAAGTTCATGAACAGAAAAACGTAAGGCAAGACTGAGCTTAGCAACAAGCCTTGACATTGACTGTATAAGAGAACTGGCATATTGTAAGAGAGAGAGCGAAAGAGCAAAAGCAGTTGTAGCTTTGCTTTGCCGCTCTCACCGCACAGATGGCGCCTACTGACATGAGCCAGTTACAGCAACAATCCTAGGCAATGGGCAGCGGCCATTTTGTCAGTAGCAACAACAATAACGAACGCCAATATCCAATCGGCAAAGGCAACGACGCAACGACAGCGGCACAACAACAACAACAAGCGCTGTAAGCTGAAATGCAATTTGCAAGCGCAACAACAGCAAAGCAAAAACCAAAAGCAAGCGCAAAAGCAAAGGCAAAAGCACGTGCATTGCTTGTGTGCGTGTGCGGCTATTGATGGCGTGTGTATGAGCAAGATAGATATAGGCGAGCAGCTCTGTGGGCGTAGGGCGCGTGTGCCTGAGTGCAGCTCAGCGACTCTTGGTTGGTTGGCGCTTAAACTTAATAAGTAAATGTGAGTGTATGTTTGTGTGTATGCGAATGCATGCAAGCCGTAAGAATTTCTGTACATGCAAAAGGATGTATGTGTTATGTATTTACATATGCTTGCATGTTCTTTTGTGGGAATTGAATACTGTTTGCTGTTGTGATCAAATTCTAATGAAATCTCTTGCATAAAAGCTTTGTTATCCGTTAGTTACAACAAGATTGACTTGTTTTTCTTTTTCTTCTTTTATCATTCTTCTATTTTGTTTGAGTGCCCAAAATTTGTGTTCGGCAGCTGTAAAGCCGGCCGAACTTGTACCCAAAAACTGATTTTAAGTCTGAACCAACAAAGAAAGATACAGTCGTTGGCTAATTATGAATAACAAAAGCGCCAACCGGCCCAGAAACCCCTTTCGATGCCCATTGTTCAAGATCTTCAAGTTTCGGCAGCTGGACTGCTGGCAGTGGGAACCAGGACGCCTGCGCTTGGGATGCTGCAAGGACAATGCGATGGCCGGCTTACCGGCTGACCGGCTGACCAGTTGACCAGGCGACTAGTTAACCAGGCCTGTCCTATGGGCGGCAGCTGTGCCGCGCGTTAGAAACTAGAAAAGCTCTTTGTTCCTTTTGTCCTATTGTTTAGTATGGGCAAATCAGTTATGTCCATACAACAACAACAACAAGGCCTGAGTGTATGTATGTGTGTGTGCGAGAGGGCGCCTACATAGAACTTTGATCACGTACGGCTGGCTTACGCTTTTCAAATATCTTAAAAACTTTTTGTTTCTTTGCCTTTTCGTCTTTGACAACGTGTCGCCATCTAGCGGCTGCTGTTAGCCCATTTGTATGACAAGTGATATAAAGCTCGCCACACTCAGCTGGTGTTTGTCCTGGCTAAACTTTTATTTCTGGTTGATATTCAACGAAATTTTCGATTGGACAACTGAAAAAGCTGTCATTGCAAGGGGAAAACAGCTTGCATACATTAGAGTGGACCTTTAAAAACTGATTGGAATGGTTTAAAAGGGGCACAGTAGCTGAAATGGATGGGGAAAATTAGAGGGACCAAATGTTTTAGAGTATTCATATTCGATTCATTCAAAGTTGAAACAGAAGGGGAAAATGGGATCTAATTTGCATTTGGGATTTTGAATAGAAGGGGCAATTAGAGTGATCTCATAATCTCAAACAGAATGAAATCTACTAAAATGCATGATTTATCTTAACCATTCAGCTAATTTATTTTTAATTATTTTTTTTTTTTTAATATATGTAGATACGTTTAGTTGAAATAAATAAAACTATGTGGTTCTTTACATAAACATGTATATTTATTTCTTAGTAGATTTATAATTAAGAATGACTTAAGCTACAGATTTATGCTTACAAGCTAGTACGTTTTCTCTGGTTTGCCATTTAATTCAAGAGACTTTTACAATAGACATTTATATATATATATATATACATATACATATACATATACATATATATATGTATATATATATATATATACTACATTTCTTTTTTCTTATAGCTATTATGGTATATTAGATTAATGCTACCAGCTTAAAGATATCGTGTACAAAACTTCTAGTTTAACAAAATGATTTGCAAAAAACAAAATCAAACTCACTTTTTTCATTTTTGTTGCGTGACCAATGTCGATAAATACAAATTTTTCTATAACTTTTTACAAGGGCCTAAGAAATTTTTTGCTCTTATCATTATTATAATTTTTTTTTTTTTAATGCAGCTAAGTTTTTGTTTTTTAAGTATTATATATCATTAGAAGTGTATGCGTGTGTGTGTATATATATGTTTGCATCGACATCATCTCAACATTAGCAATTTTCTAAAGTTTTCAAAAATATTCTAAATACACTTCAATTACTCGTGTAATTTAGGAAAGATTAACAAAGTGGAAACAATGAATTTTGTGTGATATGATAGAATTCACAAGCATTCAGAAACCTGGCTGGAATTCCTATATATCAGCTTAAAATATAAATTACATAGTGAAAAAAAAAAAATGGGAAATAGCTAATAGCCGCAAATGCCTCAATGTAATCTTGTGTGGCATTGCGGATAGGCTTCTCCTTAATATGCCCGAATCAAAATTTTTCGGATGTTATTATTGCTATTCGAACTGTGCGTGGGTGTGTTGTATAGATGCGCGTGTGTGTGAGTTCTCGCTTGGGCTACTTATTTGACAAAAGCCTCGGGCGGAATTTTGTTTTCCTTGAACAGTTTCTCGAACACAAAGGCGGCATGGTTGAAATCCCAATTTGTTTCCTCTAAGCATCTGAAATGCGAATCAAGAGAATTAATGATAGAATATATATCGTATACAGGTGTGGTATGGTCATATTGCTGCCATGGCTACGCACTTGCGGCTCCAGTCCAGATTCATTTGACTTTGTGCACTCATCGCTTGCACCATTTGCATTTTGGTGGCATCGTTGAGGGCAGCCGCATTGCCGCCAGCGGGTACGGCAACTGGATTCGATGGAGACGGTGTTGCCAGCAGGGCAACAGGAGCGCCAGTCACTGCTTGGCTCGGTTGCAAACGATTCTGTATAGATCCCTCGCCGACGGTTGCAGCACCAATCGGTGTTATTCCCACGGCCATGCCGGCGCCTGGCGCTGGCTGATGCTGTGTGCGCTTGAATTCGCGCGTCTGCTCGCACGTGGCACTGTTCAGGAAAATTGTCTCGTTGCGAATGCAAAAGCCCGAGTTCTGTGGCACCACCACAAAGGTGCGCATAAAGTGGCGCAGCTCGTAGGCCTGCATGTTGCTGGGCGTCCCAGCGCTCGTATCGCCAGTTAGCTCCTTGAACAATCCGGTCACCGTGAACAACATCATTTGGGGCTGCAGAGAACAGAGATTGGATTAGCACAATTTCCCATGTGGCTGCTGCTGCTGCTGCTGCTGCGACTCACATTGTATATGGTCAGATCGACCGTGAAGGTGCGACGTTCGTGCAGTGTACGTGGCCATTCGTCCAGTGTGGACACACAGGCTAGTCGTCCGCTCTTCAAAAGGCGTATGCGTAAATCTTCACGTTCGTTGTTTAGGAGCCGTCGTAGATTTCGATTGAATTTCCAGAAGTTGTTCAGCCTACTGGATAAGCGAGGCAAACAATGTGAGTATGGGACAGTCGAGGGGGTGAGCTGCAGCGGACTTACCTGCCCGACTGGCTGGCCGAGGGCATCGATATGGAGAGCATTGCATGCTCGTGATACGCATCCAGCAATGGCTGGCGATTGTCCGAATCGAAAATGCTAAAGTATTGATCCAGAAATTGGCGGACCACATCGGCGCCAGCGCTGTCGCATAAGAAGGATGCCTTGGCCGGTGGCAGGACCGGGGATTCGTTCAAATCGAAATGAACTTGCGGCGGCAGCGGTTCCCCATCCTAAATCACAATGATTAACATCGGTGGCATCATCATCATTAGTACAATGTACAATTAATCAATGGCACTCATCATTCTCATGATTCGCTTCACTTACCAGTTTCAGGACTTTAGGGAATTTACGTCGTACTTCACTGTAAATAGTTTTGCATTTGGAATTGCATCCGAATTTGTTTTTGTTTTTTGATGATGTTGTTGTTGTTGTTGTTGTTTTTTGAATTAGTAGTGTGCAGTGCGCATGCATACGTACACGACATATGTATGTAGATACGGCATACATACGCACACACAGGCACATATATGTTGAATGAATGAATTAGTTAAACAATAATACACACATATATATATAAATATAGACAAAATATCAATGCAATTCATTGGCATGTGTATGCATAATTACTTGCCCCACTGTCGCCTTGCCATTTCGAAATGCATTTTGGCACCTGATTCGCTTGCATAATCAAGCAATTTGAATTGCACAGAGAAAACTTTGAAGCACTTGCAATTGGCTTTAATTGGCGCTGGTTATTAAAAAAAAAAACCCTAATGCGCGCATGGCCTGGAGGTTTTTGCAATAATTAAATTTTGAAGCAGAGCCAAACTTTTAGACAGTTTTTTAAATATATTTTTCCGGTTTCTTTTTTTTTTTTTTTTTTTTTGTATTTTTGTATTTTTTTATTTTTATTTTTTTTTCTTTTTTTTTTCAACATTTTTTCAAATACCCAAAAGCTGCGTGCAGCCCACTGTCCACATTGCGCGCGTATTTGTGTATGCGTGTGCGTGTGACTCTGTTACTGTGTGCGTCTCTTTCTGTCAGCTAAGCATTGCATCCGCAGACTAGGCACACCCCCACCGCCAATCACGACAGAGTTGAGAGGCTTGCATTGAGACGCAGTCGATGGGCTTTTGTGCACGGTCGCCTTCGCCAGCTCTCGGGGTGGGTGGTCGGTCATGTTCTCAGCTGCATGGATCGTGGTGATAGAGTCGAGATGAGCGTTTGGGTGTGTGTGTGTGTGTGTGTGTGTGCATGTGTCTTGTCGTCAGTGTTTCGCTTTCTAGCTGTCCGCTGGGCGCGCGCACCGTGCCTTACGATGAAGCCAACGACAACATTGACGCCGACGCAAACGCAACTGCAACTGCAACTGCAACTGCAACTGCAACAACAACAACAGCAGCAACACAACAGCGTAAACTACAAATGGCGGCCACAACTGCCCACAATGGAGCCGGCCGGGAGCCTGTGTCCGCGTGAGTGCAACGTGTGCGTGCGTGCGTGCGTTCGGGCGTGCGTGTATGCGCTCATGTGGGTTGCCTTGTTCGGGGCATACGACGTGTTGTCCTTGTCTGGCATGCACAATGCCAGCGCAAGGCGGCCCGTTACGTAGCAGCATGCCTGTCTGCATAGTGGAAGTGCAATGCACAGTTCAAAGTCTGTGTGTGTTCGTGTGAGGCTAAGTCATATGTACGGTGTTGCCGTATCGTCAAAATGTCAGGCAGTAAGCGTAGTTTGTGCTTATGTTCAGTATTGTGGCTTACGCATGTTTTATTATTTTTTCAACTGGGTTTTCTTTTTTTTTTTATATTTTTTTAAATATTTTTTTAAAATATTTTTTTAAATATTTTTTTAAAGTTTTGTTTTCATTTTTTTTTTCCTTTTTTTTTATTTATTTTTTTTTTCTTTACGGAAACTGCCAAAAGCTCGGCTTCACTTTCATTGCTCTATTCAATGCTCCAATGGCCCCAAATGCATTTGCTTACAAAAGATACAACTAAAGCTGCGAGTGCCATGTGGCAAATCCAAATGGCTTTGCGACAGTGTGAGCTCAGCTAATCAGTAGAGTCAGAGATTGGGAAAGAGAGAAGAGAAACAAGGATTAAGAACACCGCTGGCGAGTCTTTTGCAGATAGACAAAGACTTCTAGCCGCTGTCCGTGTTTCGCAACGCTGATGATTCGCTGGCTGCGTCCCATTTCGAAAGCAAAATGAATTAATCAAAGCATAGTATACCTGACAAACTGCTGCGGATCCTTGTAGCGCAAGCGGCATGGATTGTTGCGCAACACCAGCTCAATAATCGGCAAATTGCGAAAGACCAAAAGATGAGCCAGTGACGGTAGCTGCAACCAGATGGAATGGTATTTGTAGAGTCAAAGTCGATAAGTTGGTTAACAAATTATCAACTGTACCTTGTTGTCGCCTAGATAAAGGATCTTGAGATGCGGCAGGCGCTTGTCGGCGCCCTTGAACGATTCCATGGTGGACATATTGTTATCATTGAGATTGATTGCCTCCAGATCGGGTATATTATCGCAAATGATGTCCAGTGCTGTGCTCATCACATTCACTCGGAACAGTGGACAAAAGAACGGCTTCAGATCCTGATCGGCATGGAAACGGGACAGATCCAGTGCCTTGGTCTGTAAATTATAACGCTTGGCCATCACCACCTTCATTTTGGCCTTGAAGTCCTCGTCAATCGTAACCAAGGGCAGGCCGCTGCGCACGCGTGGCATCAGCCGGAAGCCATCCGGCAATTGTGCGTGCCTTCCCAGCTGCTGTATACGCTCAGCCACCTCAAAGTCATCCGTGAAGAAGATGACACAGTGACGCTCCGTACGCCAGTATTGCGGTACGAAAACATGCGGCGACATCGCGGCCAGTAGAGCACGCAGCAGCGTCTCTTTCTCATAGATCTGGCCATTTTGTATCTGCAACACAGAAGGGGGAAATGAATATTTCGTTGGGGCCGCACATAAACGCAAATTGATTATGACTTATCTCTGCTTAATAATAATTGCTTAATTAGTCTATTGATTAGATTACAAGCGAGCCTTAAATCAATCGAATCTCTCACTTGACTTCAATCAGTCAATGGTCAATTATGTAGTCTGTCGCTCTGTCAATTAGAGCTTAGCTATTCTGTCAGTCAATTTAATCGCTACATACTTAATATGTCTCTCCATCGATTGGGCAACTTAATCGTTAGTCAATAACTAAGCAGGCCATTAAATCTCGCATTCAGTCAGTCAGTCCATAGTAGGTCAACCAGTCAGAGAGTCAATCAGCCATAGCAGAAGGCCTAGCTTAACTAGCTATTCAATCACTACATCAGTCAATCAGCTATCAGTCAATCAGCTAATCAGTCAATGTTCAATCAGTTTCAATCAACCTGTTTATTATAAAGTCAAACAATATTTGGTCAATCGGTGGGCTAATCAAGAATCATCCATTCCATCAATCAATCAGTAAATGCTCATTCTATAATTGATCAATCAGTCAGCCTATCTGTCAATCAATCCATCAGTCAGACAACTAGTCAGTCAATGTTATTCAATCAATCGATTTGTCAAGCTAGGTCAATCAGTCTAAGTAGTAAATCGATTAATTGATTAATCAGTCGGTGCTTTCAGTCACTCATCAATCGCCACTCGCACTATCGAGCCCAATCTATATTATTGATGTATGATATATGTCTATATTAAGAAAGCTATATAAGTGATCTAATTCAAAATACAACCACATTAAAAACAAACAAACAGAGAGCTTGGAGTGGGTGGGTGTAGATAGCTATACATACATACATATTTATATACTTTCAATTATCGATAACTGCAAAAACTGGAACAAGCCAATGGGAACTATTTCACTTGCCTAGTTTATCGTCTCTTCATGGTTTTTCGTTATTGTTATTTTACTTTTACGGCTATTGTTTTTTATTTATTATTTCTGTAAATGTGTGTGTGTGTGTAACGTTGCTCATTACGTGCTACACTCCCAATTACTCAATATTTGCATACCAATTCCAAATTCCGATTTAGACTATGGTGACTGGCCTGGGACCTGCGGACCTGGGGCCTCTCTTTGTATTTTAATTACTTTTGGGTGCGCTTATCTTCAAGTGTCTATGATTTAATTATGAGCATTTTGATTATAATTATGACGCACACGCAGCTACATAATATTTATATATATATATATATATTTATATATATATATATATATTTATATATGCATATATGTATATTTATAGACATATGTATATCTAGCCTTACTTAGTATATATACTTTCATATATTTACGCTTAGTAATTGGGGCAGGTTGGTGGATTTATTTTTTTTTTTTCAGATTTTTACTTTTTTAGATAGTTCCAATTTTGCTTGGAAGCAATTTTGATATACTATATATCATAAACACACATATGCACGCAATTGTATCTAGCTATGAGTTCGTTGTGATCATAGATAAGAAGACAACAACAAAATCAGTTGGAGTGATCGACTATGAAATACCCTGCAATTATACAAATTATTCCAGTAAATTCCTTTCCATTTTCCATAGAACAATGTCTATAATAAAAGCATGGAAATATATTTATATATGAATACTTGTATTTATATGTATATGTATTCATATCACATATACAACATATGCATATTGGCACTATATATTCTCGAGTATAAATATATATTGCCTTGTTAATGTCAGTTCATGAAGGATACATACATATATGAACAAATAAATAATATTAATACCTAGAAGGTATCTATAGAAAGTATCCACATTCTAAAATTATATTTTTTGTTTTAAAGTATATATATTATTATATATTAAAAAAATTAAAATTAAATTTTGCATTAGAAATAATAGTTTTATTATAATTCTAGTTTATTGCCATTCCCTATAATGAATTAATTTATTCAATACATTTTCCCATTTATTCTTAGTTATCTCCACCCTTCCATGCCCCAAATTACAGGGTATATGGTAATCAAATAAGTCACTGTGAGCCCACTACGCCCATTACCCATTACGCACTCAATTTCATTTTGATTTTGTGTTTACTGCGCATTAATGCGATAAATATATTTATTATGTGGCATTAGTGTTCGCCTATTATGTTTACTACTCATTAGGCCAGCCATTGGGCCTGGCCCTAATTTGGCCCGGCTGACTTAAAGTCCTTAAACTTTTCCAATCAACGAGCTCATTGGGGTCTAACAGCTATTGCCATGCAGAGCTAATTGATAAAGCCAAATAGCCGAATGCTAAAGCGTCTCAGTTGCTGCATTAGTCAGTCTCTTGTTGTTGTTGCTGCTGTTGTTGTTGTCGATTTTAATTAAACAATGTGATCATTTTTGTTATGGTTAAATATTTGTCAACATTTAACAAATGCCAGCTGATAACACTTGAAGATCTGATCAGCTCAACTATTCGAGCAGCCGAGACCATGAGTCGTCGTCGTTTAAGGGTAATGAATGCGCTTGAGCTGCGATTGAGATTGGGATAGAGAGAGAGAGAGTGAGAGCGAGAGAGAGAGAGAGGGGGAATATGAGAGAATGATCGAATGGTTGAGCTGCTCGGGCTGGTTCTGGGATCAGTCATATGTGTGTATATGTTTTGGGGGCTTATGGACTGGGCTGGGCTGGTCTAGTATATACAAATTCCTCTTTTTCTATACACAAACAATGAGGAATATGAACGCGCTGAGACACACACGAATTTCTAGAATTGATATGAATGATGACGCCGACGCCGACGGTGATGGCGCTGACGATCTCGATGGCAATGGCGATGTCGACGCCAGCTGCGGCAGCGACGCCAACAGCTACTGGCAATGCGACGGCGAGTGAAACTCTGCTTCGGCAAGCCGATTGGGCTGGCTAACAAGCGCGCACCGGCAAACGCCGAGCCATTCGTTAAACACCGTGCGAGGTTAAAGCAACAACAGCAGCAGCCAAACGAGCCACTCAACTCAGCCAGCTCAGCCACCCAACCACCCACACAAGCAAAACAACAAAATGGGCAGCTGTTGCTCAAAGGATTTGGATGACAAGCGCTCATGGAGTCCCGAAGAGACCAAAAATGGCGTAAGTTACTTACAACACAAAAATTATAATAAATAAATGAAATATGTATTTCAACATTTTCAACATCTGTATATGTATATATACTTATATATAGAGCACCACATCGACTATCATAGCACAGCCCATGGATGATGTGGGCAGCACAGGTGTCTTTACGTTAACGCGCTCAGCAACAGCAGAGAAACAACAAGAACAACTCACAGCAACCACAGGAACAACAACAACAGCAACAGCAACAACAACCACAGCCAATGCTGTTGATCCTGATGTCAAGCAATAGCTGCAACAACATTCCAAAAACCTTAACCAAATATCAATTTGCTTAGCCGTTTTTTGTTTTTTTTGTTTTTTACTTAACTCCATAATTTCTGTTAAATAAGCAATAATAATAACGTATATATACATACATACTTATATATTTACTGTATATACATTTTTTTTTTGTTTCGTTGTTCAAGAAACATTTGTGACATGTGTGTTTGCTCGGCAAGAGGAAGAGAGTCAGTGCGTGCATGCGTATATATTTTATAATTAATAACTCGTCTTATTGCTGACAGCTAAGGAAAATGAAACAAACCAAAAAGTACCGTTTAGATGCAAGTGATAAATCGTTAGACTGTCTGCGCGGCATCTTTCAATTCGTCCGGCTACACGATATCAACGAAATAAAAACCAAATCCATAAATAATGGCCAGGAATGAGAGAGGGTGAGAGAGAGAGAAAGAGACAAAGAGAGACGTAAGTTTAACCGGCGCGATAAGAACCGTTACCGTGCCGTGCCGTGCCGCGCCACACCACGCCCCCTACCGCAGCTGAGCTGCACACGCATTCGCGCATTGCTAGGCGATGACATCAGAGACTGCTGCGGCTGCCGATGCACAGAGAAGAAAACTTTAAGAGAGCACAGAACCGAGGCCAAGTGAGAGCGAGAGTGAGAGTGTGACAAGGCAGGACAGAGAGCAGGAAACACACACACACACACAGCAGTGACTTCTTATGACTCAGTTTCTTGCATTGGGAATTTTCGCGCAATTTCTTTGGCCTAGAGCGAAAATATAGAGCAATTTAAAAACAACCATATAAAATATTTAATCTACAATACATATACATATATATGCACATATATGTGATGACTAAGACGCCACCTGTCGGCTGGCACGTGAGAACTCGCATAGATGCACTTGCTTTTGCACTCCATAGGAAAGTAATCTAGCAAAACAAAATATTTCAATGCTATCTTTAGACAGTTTGCATAAATCTACACACACACACACACACACATATACGCATTTGTATAGTATATATTTTATTTATTCAATTATTAATTAGCCACTGCGAGATGTAAAGCATGTGCTGTTCAGTTAGTATGCAAATAGTAAATCGGTAATTGGAATGGTTTTTTTCCACATTTATATTTTTCTTTATGAATTCATAGATTTGTATGTGCTCAGAAATAATTATAGAAGTGAGAGCGCACTTCCTGCTTCAGCAATCAATCACAAGAAAACTTAGTTACATATATACTGTATTTTATCAATAAAAATGCAATTGCCAGCAAGAAATTATAATAATAATACAATCATCTAATGCAATACAAATGTAATAAATGCAAATAAATTATTCAAGTTGCATTTTAGTGCTCTCTGACTGTATTTTAATTATGTGCCAATTAAAATTCATTTCAAATCGCCAAAAGCGTTGACAGCGTTGCCACCCAGTCAAATAACAGCTGTCTCGAATGTAAGTGCGATTTAAAAGCTCAGCCCAAAAGTATGCAACATAAATGCTTTCAATTCTAAGCAAACGTTCTGCGTTAACTTAAAAAAAAAGAAGTTCACTAAAGATAAGATTGTACACAAAATATATATATTACACATGTTCACATAAACGTATGAGGGTATAAGAGAGACAGAGTGAGAGAGCGAGAGAGGAAGAGCGAGACTAGATGATGGCAGAAAATTTGCCAGCCCATCTATTTGTGTGCATTATATAATATATACAATATACATACATATATATGTATGTATCATCGCATATAGAAAGATAAATAAGTATTAGTAAATCAGACAATCCAATAAAACCAAAACAAACCAAACCAAACGACGCAAAATAAACGAATTAAAGAAAATGCAAAACAAGGGAACGATATGCATATGTATATATGTATGTATGTATGTATGCATACTTTGTGAGTGTGAGTGTGTCTATGTACAAGTACATATATAGATAAAAACAATTTGAACATCAACAAGAACGACCCTAAAGTCAAACGAGGAACCAACTCAATGACTACTCGCTGGGGATCGTCGATTGTGAATGGGGTAGCAGGGGAAGAGAGAGAGGGCCAAAGAAACAGAGCGGGAGAGCGAGCGAGAGAGACAGAGAGCGGGGCCACTGATAGAAAACAGAAATTGGAACGCACCATCGCCCCCGCCGTCTGTTAGGTTCCGTGTCCGTTCATGATTCCACGATCGGCAGACGGCAGCAAAGTTAAGTTCTCTGTGTATTGTCAGTGCAAACGCGACCCTCCGACAAGCAGGCAGTCAGGCGACCCAGCGACGGATCCACAACATATCTAAAGTACATTTCAATCAATTAATCAATTAGCTAAGCCCAAGCTAAGAGAGTGAGCATGAAGCACAGCGTAAGCCTGGCCATCGGCTTCCTGGCACTGCTGGCTGCCACCTGCTGCACAGCTCTGCCCATGGCCAACGAGGAGGAGCTCGTCTCGCTGGACTCCATGGAGCAGGGTCAGCCAGGCCAAGCACGGCCACAGGAATTGCCGCACATCTTGAAAATAGCCCCGAAACAACAGACGAACGAGGAGCCGGAGCCAATCAAGAGCAACGTCTACGATACCATCGTCGAGCAGCTGCGCGCAGCGGGCGTCCACACGTCCGAGCAGAAGCCCTTGAATACGCTTAGCTACAAGGAGCTGACACGCCTACTCGCCCTGTGGCACATGGCCCAGGGACGCAACTACTACGAGGCCGGCAACAATCGTGCCCAGCGTGAGACAGCCACAGCCCAGCCGATTCCCAGCTAAAGGAAAGCGTGAGGGAGGGCACAGGCTAAGCTTCTGCCGGGATCAGTTATATAATTTTTTTTTTAAATCTTTGTTTACTATTACTAAGCTGTTTTTTTCATAATCGAATGTAAAACGCGCTGCACTAAATAAAAAGAAGAGAAAACAAGTAAGAAAGCTCTAGTCGACTACGAGATCCCCTGAACTCTTCGAGCAACTGATATTACAATAATAATTCGCACAAGCACACACACACACACACACGCACATATACAGGCGATTGCGCTGCAGTCTTGGCAGTATTATGAGAATTTATTTGTTGAATAATTTGAATT